TGAAGATGGTGGGCAGTCCTCAAGATAATAACTATAATAATAATAAGGAAAATGATAATAGCAACAACTGAATAGCAACAATAGTAGGAACAGTAAATAATAGTAAAATAGCAGCCTTAGCCATCAATTGAGCTATGTTCTATAGCCAATGTACACTGTACTATAAATGTATTCTCTTATCTGAAGATTCCAATAACTACATCATGCCAATACTATCCCTATCCCACCTTACTGATGATAAGACTGAGGCTTAAGGAGGATCTAATAACCTCTCTAGTATTGGTTGACTGACTCATTTATTTACTCAGTGAACATTATTGAGGGTGTGATGTATGTTGGATTATTTCTAGGGGTTGGAGATGTGTGAACAAGGTCCTGGTTTTCATGGAGCTGACTGCCTAGTGGCAGAAAACAAAGACTGACTCATCACATAAATGAGATGATGTCAAAAGATGATTAATTGATAAAAAGGAAAATACAGCAGAGTAAAGGGACCAATAGTGATGGGGTAACAGTTTTAGATAGCGGAATGAGTAAAGGCTTGCTGAGGAGGAAACGAGTAGATAGAGTTCTGACTGATGAAAAGGAGTGAGCCATTAAAGTTTCAGGTAGGGGGAACAGTCAGTGCAAAGGTTCTGAGGCAGGAGTATCCCAGTACGTTCAAGAAACAGTAAGATTGCCAGTGTGACTGAGGTGGAAGTGGAAAAGAAGAGGAGGACAGTGAGGTCATGTGGGCTCAGATCATGTTGAACTTGTAGGCATGACCTTGGCTTTATTCTGACTCTGAAGGGGAAGCAATTGGAGTGAGCATGAGAGCCAAGGGGCAGTAGAGTCTGTTCTGAGTTTTTAAAAGATCTGTCTGGTGAGGGCGTGGTGAGTAGTGAGACCAGTTATAGGAATATTAAAGTAACACACATGAAAAATGATGAAGAAAGGAGTCTAGGATTACTCTGAGGGTTTTGACCTGAAGAACTGAAGGAAGACAGGAGAGATCGGGGGAGTAGGCTGAGAACTGAGGAAATCAATAGTTGACCTTAGACACTTTGAGTGTGAGATACCCATAGGCCCCCCTCAAGCGGAGATGATGAGTTGACTGAGAGCTAGATAGATATACATGTCTGTAGTCCAGTGAAACAAAAACAGGGATAGAATTTTATATCTCAGGGTTATCAGCTACAGACAACATTTAAAGTCATGAGATGAGGTGAGGTCATCTCAGGTGTGAGTGCAGGAAGGTGAAGGGGTGACGTGAGGCAGCAGAGACAGAAGGGGTGGGCCAGTGAGGCAGGTGAAGAACAAAGAGAGAACATTCTGTGGATGCCAAGCAGAGGCTGTGCTTTAAAGATGAGGGCAATTATCATCTGGGTCAAATGCTGTTGACAGGTTGGGTCAAACCAGGTCTAAGAAGTAACCACTAGACCTGGCAACATGGGCTACACTGAATTCCTTGACAAGAACAGTTTGTTTCCAACTGTTGGTTGGATTCTGGATGCAGATGTGTGCAGCATTAGCTACTGTGCTCTTGGTTCCTGAAGCACTGAAACTCACTGGCCGATGTCCCCTTCATCTCCCTTTAGGTCCACATTCCCTTTATCCCTTGCAACTCAGCTGCTGGCTCTCTTTGTCATGGAGCCTTCCTTAATCCCTCTAGCCTAATTTAACTCATTCACCTGTGTTTCAGAATTATTCATTGGTGACTATGTTTAGATATTTGTTGAGTAGATGAGTCCTTGGATTAGTAGAAGTTATGCTATGTGCATGCATACAGAATGAGACAAAATGCTCTGCAAAATGTGGCATTATTACTGCCACTGCTAAAGGCAGCATAAAGATGTCTAAGCAAGAGCATCCCAAAATAGCCATCTGGAAGCACAGTCTCACAGAGTGCTGCATGGTCTGCTGACTGACTAAAGGACAGTGCAACACTGCTGGGTGGTGAGTGGGGACTTGACTGTGGCTGAGGGAGCTGGGCCGAGAGCTGAGCCATGTGACCTTGGGTGAGGCACTTTGAACTTCTAGGACAAAGTTTCTTCACCTTTGAAATGAATAGATAGTGTCACATCATCTCCAAGTACTTCTGTCCACCTGGGTTCATTCTCACGGTAGAAACTGGCATGGTATTAAGAGTTACTTGTCCTGTGTTCTTTCTCTCTACTTGGACTATAGACTCTCAAAGGATAGGCCTTATACTTCTTTGCATCAAGAAGGTAGATGAACACTAGGTTCATCTATTTTTTTATTTAGGTCATAAGAAAAAATCCTCTTTGGTCTGTGAAGTGTGCACTGGCCTATGCTCAGTGATCTCCCTCTAACTTGCCACACCTTCCTCCTACCCAGTCATTGAAGAATTCAGTCATTTGCTCTGAGACCCTACTGCAATATTCTTGAGCATGCCAAAGGTTCATGACCCAACTCTGCCACTAATTTTGTGCCTCTTGACCCAGCTGGCCTAGAGTTGAGGAAATCAAGACACACGGTCTAGAAAACAAGCCAAAATACTGGAAAGAGACTGTCTTAGGAAACTTAGCCTATGGAACTAGGGTTCTTGCAGAAAGTAGAAGATGTGTCAGCTTACAGAGATTCATGCACACCAGTTTCAGACTTTGTGCTCCAGAATATCAATCTTCTATGTCTAGGGGATCCTAGAAGAAGCAGAGAGTGAAGAGAGGGAGATTGACTAAGAACCTGAAAAGTAGTGCACACTGGTAGAGGCGAGAGCCTGGACTAGGAAGGAGAGAAGAGATGAATCGCTGCTGGCAAGACTGTGCTGGATAGCCCCTTTGTTAGAGACAGTTCTTAAGACATCACATTAAAGCTGAGGCACACTCTACTCCAGGTGCCAATGCCAGAGATGTTGCCTGCATGCTGAGAGCCTAGGGTACAGGGGTTGCGGTAGAGACAGGCAGGAGACACATATCCAAGTGCAGTGTGGAAAGTACTGGCCTGGAGGTGTAAATATGGTGCTGGGGGGCAGAAGGGGAATAGCATAACTAGGGTGCTAATGGAGATGGTGCTGCCCAGAGGAATCTTTCTCCTCTGCAGATCTGCTGTCCAACCTTCTCTCACTCTGTTCTCTAACTAACCTCCAGGAAGGCTACTTGCATAGCCCACATCAATGGGTTCTTTGATTCTTGGCTTCCAGCTACATATCAGAGGGAAGACGAGAGGAGGGCACAGTATTTATTCCCTTCTCTCCACAAGGTTAACCTTGGGACAGTTGTATCCTTCAGTCAAAAGTCACTGCTCCTGTCAAGTTGGCCAGTTGTACATGGCTGTCTCCTGGGTTCTGATTACTATCCACTCTTTCCCTCTTAGGCCTGACCCATAACAGTCTGTTACCATGCTCCTGTGGTTTCCCTATGCCCCAGACAGACCTTTGTAATTAGTTCTCTTATCCCAGTGTGAGTGTCTTTCTTTTTCTGGCTGGGATCCTCACTGATGCACTGTACCTTTGAAGTAAGAATCTGCAATTCTTTGGGACTTCCTCCCCTTAGTATGTTGGGAGCTCCTCCATGAGGAATCATGTCTTTTAAGATATTAATTATAGCTATTTCCTGCCTCTGCTATCTAGTAAAGTTACCATTTATAATGGTTGTTTATCAATGATTTGTTAAAAGACATGATTCTCTCCTCAGTGACAGTCATTCCTTTGGCCCCAGCTGGTCATGTGTGATTCTGTCTGTGCTATTACCATATTGCCTTCTCAGCCCGTATTTCTCACAAACCCACTCAGGGAGGGAGCCACAGCTTGGTTTCCTCCCTTGTCCCCTAGCTGTTCTCACCTGTTTCTCTATCAAGTGGCCAACTCCTCCCTCCAAAACTTCTTCCTGCCCCATACTCTAAAGTTTACCATCTTCATGTCAATGTCAAATACATGTGCCTCAGGGAAAAAACCTTCAATTTATCTCAATTTATTTCTGCCATAATTTCCAAGACTGAAAGATGAAAATAAAAATAATACTGACTATAGGGTTACTGGGAGAATAAAAGCAAATGTGATGTCCTGTAAAATGTATTGTCTTTCCCATGGCATACATCAGTGAGGATCATGAATAAACAAGCTCTTTTCACTCCCACTCTACTTTGACTGGTTTCCAAAAGGCAAACACTACTTTAAAATGCAGCACAATCATAATAAAACAGACATTTCCTGAGCATTTAATCTCTGCCAGGAGCTGTCCTAAGCGCTTTTGCATGTCATCTTGGTTAATCTCCACAACCACTGGTGGAACCTATTTCATGCCCATTTTACAGACAGGAAAAAACAAGGCCATAAAGAGATGAAGTAACTTGCCGAAGGTCAGGAGCCAGAAGTGAAACTTAAGCGGCCTGACCAAAAGCCACGCTGTGAATCCATTTTCTACAGTCTCACTTGCTTACCTTCCCTGTGACATCACATGAAGACAAGGAAAACAGCGTGGCAATTCCTAAAAGATCTAAAAATCGACCTTCCATATGACCCCACAACCCCCTACTGGGAATATACCCGGAGGAACTCAAATCACTCTATGGAAAAGATACCTGCACATGCATGTTTACTGTAGCATTATTCACAACAGCAAAAATATAGAGCCAACTGTGCTGCCTATCAAAAGAAGACTGGATTTAAAAACAAGTACATATACATGATGAAATATTATGCAGCCATAAAGAAGGACAAAATTATGAACTTTGCAGTAACTTGGATGGGCTTAGAGTTTATAGTATTGAGTGATCTATAACAGAAACAAAGAACTGAGTACCACATGTTCTCTTTCATAAGCGGACCATGAATAATTATTATAATATTATAAGAAAGAATTGGCAGTAGTGGGAAACTGCCGGGGTGAGGGGAACATCTCATCCACAAGGGTACCAGGAGAATGAACATTTGTATACCTAACCCTGAATTGTACGCCACATCTTCAAAATTAAAAATTAAAAAAACCAGGAAAACAAAAAAGCCTAAATAAATTATTGGAAATTAAAACAAATAATGATTGTTCTAGACAGAGACTCACCTGAACTTAGTGCGTGTTCTACTTCCTGCATGATCACCCTGGGGAAGGTGGTGGTGGTCTCGGTGTCTATGAGCTCACACATCACTTTGGTTGGCACAGTGGTTGGGGGTGTTTTCTCCTGGGGGATTGGCTCTACCATAGCTGGTGAAGTGGATGTGTGGTCAGAACTGGCCTCTTCCTTCGGGGACTCTGGTGCCGCTGGAGTTCCTGTTGGCTGGGTGCTGGTCACAGTAGAGCTGCGGTTGGTGGGGAGGGAAGCAGAAGAAACCTCAGGCAGTGGGGTTAATGGGGATGAGGGTGATGAGGCTGGAGCTTGAGGGGACATGAGTGTGGAAGGTTCATTGGGGGACTGTGACCCTGTAGCTGGCATGCTTGCTTCATGAATGCCCGGGCTGTGATCCTCGGGTGTCGGTGTTAGGTGGACTCTGCCGCTTGTTGAAAAGAACACAGGAGGTGAGGCATCTGTGTTGGTACCTTCCCAATTCAAAGCTGGGCTGGTGATGTCCTCTTCTCTGGGCTCTATGGAAATGTTCTTGGGAAGTGGAGATGTTGGGGCTGACGCTGTAACTGGGAGCACTGAGTTGCTGTGAGTGGCATTGGTTGGAGAGGCAGTGGCTGCAGCAGTGTTTTGTGGAGTGCTAGTCCAGTTGGTGGTCGGGGGGGTAATTTTTGCCGGAAAAGAAACAGGCAACTGGGCTGATGTAGGTGCACTCTGAACCCTCCATCCTGTGAAAGAGCCAGTACAATAGTGGTTAGTACGTGAACACTGCATAACATGCAAAACAGCGGCAAGGCTGTTGCCCCAAAACTGTATCACAATATTTTCATAGATATTTCTCATTTTGCATTGTACCTTCCCCAGTGGTGAAGGCAATTAAAAAATATTCTTCCCACTAATTGCTCTCCCCTTGAGAGTCTCAATAGGAACCAGCAGAAGGCTCAGGAAGAGCAATTAATATTATTACTATTGTTATTTAATTTTAAAGATGTGGGGTGCAGCTCAGATTGAGGTATACAAGTGGTCATCATATAGATAGAGTGTGGGCCTCTCTTTGGTCCCCACTTTTGTTTGGTTTGAGATCAGGTACCCTTATTGGTGTTATGTGCCCCTCTCCCCCTCCCCTGGCAATGACCCACCACTGCCAATCCCTTTCTTGTTGTATTATGGTAAATGTTCATGTTCCGCTTATGAGTGAGAACACGTAGTACTCAGTTAAGAAGAACAATTATTAAAGTAGGTCAACTCAAGGCCAGCTAAAACATGGTCTAAACTAATTTTGTTCCCTTCTTGCTTAAATCCACGACCTTAGAGAGTGAGACCCTCTGGGGAAACTGATTTATGGATATTTATCTGGACTGCTGAGCAGCCAGCTCCACAAAGCCTGCAGGGACGCTGAGGGCATGTGTCTTAGAAGCCCAGTGGTGTGGGGTTGGCGAAGCGTATGATGATTGTGGGAGGGACTTCAGTCTTGCTCTACCCCGCGGCTGAGGAGCTCACAGATCGGCCGTTCCCCATCAGAGGACCTCATTGACTGGCAGCTTCCTGCCAAGGGCTATCTGTTCTGCAGTTATGCATAGGGATGCAAGGGCTGTGCGCTTGCAGACTGGGATGAATGAATGAATATGTGAGCACATTTCCTAACCAGAAAGAAAAAAGAAGTTGTCCCAGAATAAAAGTTGAAAGGAGTAATTTGAGGTTTGGAAATATTTTCTGAGACCGGGACCCAGTTGTCCCAAATTCTAGCCTGAGGTCCTTAAGATCATATCATCTTGCCAAAAGAGATTTGGTTCATATACTGTGACATTTAGGGCTAATTTCCTTTCTTTCTTCCTTCTTTTTTTTTTTGAGTTGGAGTCTCACTCTGTCACCAGGGCTGGTGAGCAGTGGCATGCTCACGGCCACCGCAGCCTCGACCTGCTGGGCTCAGGTGACCCTTCTGCTTCAGCCTTCTAAGTAGCTGGAACTACAGGCATGCACCATCATGCCTGGCTAATTTTTTGATTACTGTGGAAATGAGGTCTCGCCATGTTGCCCAGGCTGGTCTCTAGGCCGTGGGCTCAGGCAGTCCTCTCACTTCAGCCTCCCAAAGTGCTGGGATTGTTGGCGCGAGTCACCGAGCCTGGTCTTCTTCTTTCTTTCTTTCCTTCACTTACCTATTCAGTTTCACTCATTGGTTGATTCATTCATTAGTTAATAAACGACTTCCATGTGCTAGTCCTCTGCTAGGTATGGGGTTGATGACTTCATTTCTAGATATGGGGTTGATGACTTCATTTCTCTCAATTGCCTCCCCAGGCCCCCTTATCATTCCCAAACTAACATTTCCCCTAATTGTTTCCAACTCAGGAGATGGTATGCCCATTTGCTAAGTCACTCAGTTACAAACCAAGACATCATCCTTCATGCCTCTCTTTTCCTCATATCCCACATCAAATTCATTAGTTAGGATGACTACCTTAAAGAGATAATCTCAATCCAGTCACTTTCCACCACCTCTTCCATTATTTCCATATCACCTGTGTCACCACAGTCTCACTAGCCTAGATGACTGCAACAGTCTCTTCACTGGTCTTCTGGCTCTCAGGTTTCCTCTCTTCCAGTCTGCTTTCCACATAACAACCAGCACGATCTCTTACAGGGTAAATCATCTTATGTTCTTTCACTGACCAAAACTCAAGCCATTTTGTTACACTTAAAACAAAATCCAAAATTGCTTCCCTGTGTCATCCCATGTTGTCCTTATCATTTGATCTGTCTCTACTCAATGTCATCTCCTCCTTAGCCGTCTTCCAAGACAAGCCTAACTAAAATCCTTCTTACTCTAGTCCCTTGTAATTTTTAAAAAATATTTTTTGAAATTTTTAATTTGGTAAAGTCTATATAATGTTTACCATTTGAACCACTTTTAAGTGTAAGTGGCATTAAGTATACTTTCAACCATCACTGTTATCCATCTCCAGAACTTTTTCATCATCCCAAACTTTAGCTCTGTGCCCATTCAACAACTCCCTTGGTATCCCTCTCTCAAGCCTCTGTAAAGACCACTCTGCATTCTACTGTCTCTATGAATTTGGTGGCTTTAAGTACCTCAAACAAGTAGAATCATACAATGCTTGTCCTTTTATGACTGACTTAATTCACTTAGCATAATATCTTTCATCCATTTGACAGCATGTGACAAAATTTCCTTCCTTTTTAACACTAAATAGTATTCCACTGTATGTGTATATCACATTTTGCCTAACCATTCACCCATCAATGGATACCTAGATTGCTTCCACCTTTTGGCTCTTGTGAATAATGCTGGTATGAACATGGGTGTACAAACATCTGTTTAAGTCCTTGCTTTCAATTCCTTTGGGCGTATTCCTGGAAGTGACATTACTGGATCATATGGTAACTTCTATATAATTTCTATAGAATTTTTAAAAGAAATATCATAGTCCTTGGTCATTTTGTTTTTTTACTATATTAGTTGTGTCTTCCTAAAATTACATATTCATTTATTCACTTATTTGTCATCTCTCTCTTCCACCAGAAAGTAAAGTCGATGAGGGCACAGTAACCTGGTCTTATTCATTGCTGTTTCCCTTGAGCCTGGGACAGTGCTGGGCTACAGTAAGTGCTCAGTTAGTACTTATAGGAGGAAGGAAGGATGGGAAAATAAATTAATCTAATAATTTTATTCAAGAATACTCTAACATCTTTTCATTCTGTTCTACATATCACTTAGTTATGGTCACCTCCCTCATGGATTCTGCAGGGAGGGCTGCCCATCTGGTGCTATTTGAGGGCAAGATCCTTGCTTAAAGATTAACCCCACTCTCTGTCATTCCAACATGACATATGCCTGTGACTGATGTCTGGTTAGGTCTTTAACTCTTTAGCCCTACATACCCTGGGGAGATTTCCTTGGAGGTGGAGTATAGGTGAAAGCCAACCATAATCAAGATTCAGAAGGAACAGAACCTTCTGGACAGATGCCAGTACAGAGAAAGAAGGAAAAGACCAGTGGGGCGGCATTCAGAATCAGGATAAAATCTGCTGACATCACCATACTGCCAAACGACAGATTCAGGAGCTGATTGAAAGCTGTGTTACAGAGTTTATCCTGAATTTAACATTTGGATTTGTCATCAAGGTAATTGGCTTTATTTTTTTAAAGGAGTTGGCAAAGTCTAAAAACTATAGGAGTGTTACTTTCCTAGTAAATGGGAGACAGACCTCCCAGCTTAGGCTACATCATATTCCAAGCTTTAATGGTGGTATTTTGGCAGTTACGAGCTGTCCACAGTTTCAGGATGAATACCAATCAAGAAAGTTTTGAAATATGGACAAAACAACAGCTGGGACAAATATTAATACACTGGATCTTCATATGTGGCCTTTGGCACTTACTGGCTTTGCATCCTGGCAGCTATCGTAGCTAATTAAAGATTCTAAGAGCAAAAAAAAAAAAAATGACAATGTTTAACTACTGTTCACAGCATCATCTACTACACTGGCAGATGGAAGCAGAGACAGCCTCAGTCTGGTAGTCAAGCCAAAGAGTCTTTGGAAACCTGAGATAAATGAAGAAGCAGTCATATACAAAGGAGTACCAATTCATTCATTCATTCATTCATTCATTCATTCGGACATTATACTGAGTAGCATCTGTGTCCACAGCTTTGCCCTCAGAGAGCTCACTATCTAGCAGGACAGAAAGAATATCCAACTACCTGTACTATGATGTGATGAGTGCTATATAAATGCAAAACCAAGTTGTAATGGGAGCTCTGAGGACAGATTAATAAATCTTGTATGAGGGCCAGGGAGTATACTAATGTCATTTTCAAATAACATTTAGGAAAGTCACAGAAGAGATGACATTTGAGTTGGCTCTGAAAGGATAAGAATTCACAATATGTCACTTAGGACATATGATGCTCACGGTGACACTCACATTGTCATTTCCAGCGGAGCTAAGAGCTGTACCATGGAAATCATTACATTGCTAAAAATGACACACTCTAATGATTGGCTTTGTTGCTGGAGACATATAATTCCATGTTTAATTTGTACTAATATACTTTTATAACTCCTACCCTGCCTGCTTCCAAAGAGGATTGGAAGTAGTCATTCATTTCCCTTGGCTATCTATTGAGTACTTATTTAAAGAACTTTACAGTCTAGTTCAGGCAATTTCTACTCATAACAAACTAACAACGCATGAAATTGTGTGACAGTGTTGGTTATCTTCACTTGAACTAGGCATTAAAAACCTCTGCTTTGCCTTATTTAATGGCATATTTCATATGTCCCTGAATCATGAAGGTGGATCTATTTCCAGCATGAAGATAGCCAAGGCTGAGGCATCATGACTATTCTAGATGTTTGCTCAGGATGCCTCAGATAAAGACCATATTCTGGGTGGGTTAAACAATAGAAATCAATTTCTCATAGTCCTGGGGGTTGGAAAGCCCAAGATCAAAGTACTGACTGACTCAGTTTCTTGTGAGGGCCCTCTTCCTAGCTTGCAGATGGTCACCTTCTAGCTGTGTCCTCATGTAGCATGTGGGCAGAAAGAGAAACAGCCTGTTATATAGAGCCTCTTTGTATAGGGACATCGATCCCATTAGGAGGTCCCCACCCTCATGACCTCATCTGACTCTAATTACCTCTCAAAGTCTTCATCCTCAAATATCATCACACTGAGGGATAGGGCTTCAACATTCAAAGTCACTGTTCACTTGAGGACTTGAGTTTCTACAGGAACACCAGACTGAATAAGTCAAACAGGTAAGAATATATACTTTATCAGGATTTCAAAGAAATTTTAGAGCTAGAAAGGGCTTACA